CCAACCCCGGTCCTCAGCAAAGCTCTACGGCCAGCTCGTCCACATCCAGGCGTCCCATGGCAACAGCGAGATCTCAAAGGCGTGTGCAGGAGGATTGCCCAAAAAAACAACATGAATATTGCAGCCGCAATGTGACATGACTGTTCAATTTATCATTTTTTTCATTTCATGTCAAACATGCTTAATAATGAACCATATGTTTGTTGACACATATGTGACTTTCTAACTATGTCAAATCTGATTTGTTCATTGTTTGTATTGGTTTTGTCATGCAACACCTGAGGCTTTCCGGAAGCACCAGCGGAAGCAAAAACAACATGACAAGAGCATGCCTGGTCAGTGAAGGTCATGGAGTCAATGCCTTTTAATTCCAATTTCGCCAGGTCAGACCATAGCGTTTGCAGTATGATGAAAAAGAAGCAGTTTGCTGGCTGGGACCCCTTGTGAGTTTCGTGGTTCTTATGGGCCCCTCACAAGTTTGTGGTGTTAGCCCCTGCTTCCCTGGTACAGTGGTGTGGTCCCCCTGCTATGCAAGTTTGTGGTCTCCGGGCCCCTTGCACAGGTTTGTGGTACCATGCCCCCAGGAATAATTTAAAATAAAATTGATAGTCAATTAATAATATATCAATTCCTACAAGTGTTGTTGACATAAGACATTGAATCCAAATGGGTATGGCCAAATATAACCAAATCAAATTTGTTTCATGTCCCCAAAACACAACATGGTGGATTGCAAATATACCAGGTCAACCCTGCCACCGCTGCACTATTGCAACATTTTGCTGCACATCGATCGCAGCGCTGTGAGGTGGAAAATCCCTAGCCTAGCTGCAACTGAAAACGTGAAAGGCTCGCAGCCTGTCAAACGCAGCTGCATCTTCCATGCGAAGGCTAAGGACGTTGGGCGGGATGGCGGCAAAAAGCCAGGTCAGACCTTTAGCCTGCCCACCCTGTAACTTGAATTAATATCCTGAGGTGAGTGGGTAGCCAGGTCAAACCATAGCCCCCTGCCAGAGTCATCCTGGACTGTTGGGTAGTCAGGTCAGACCATAACCCCCTGCCAGGGTCAGACCACCGGTCAGACCAAGACATGCGCCCCCTGGCTGTGAAGGCGATAGCTCTCGCTCCACTCATGCCACGAAAAGCGGAGCGGCATGTCCTCTGTTCTCAGGTAAGAACAGGGCATGTTCCAGGGGGTCGCACGCCTGCCTGAATGCAGCGCCCAGTGGGACCTGGGCAAGCGGTGGGGGAATGGCTGCAAGCCCACCTCCTGGCAGCCCCTCTCAATGTACCACTGGATGATGCCCTTCAAGCTGTCGACGGTGGGGACCTCATCACAATTGATGCGGAAAGTCACCTGGGCATTCTCCAGTCACCACCATTTCAAAAGTTGGACCCGGGGTCAGACCACCGAGCCCAGGACCCGAGGTCAGACCATCCGATCCGTCAGTCAAAGCTGGGACCGTTGTCGCACCGCCGGCATCAGACTCAACAAAAATCATAGGGCCCACGCCTGGCAGTACGACCAGCGTACCATCAGGAGCGTGCACAAAGGACCATTCACTTCCGGCAGCGGAGGACGCCATTGAAGAGAGAGGGGCGACGTGCCACAAACACGGGGGCAGAGAAGCGCGGTCAGAAAATGGCTGCGGGCTGTGAACCAAAGGACAAAGTAGTGCAAACATCCACGGACATGAGCACAAACAAAATCACTCAGCAGAACACTCGAACTCCCTTCGCAACATCTTGAATGGTTGTTTGACCCCATATCTAGAGTTGGTGGTCTGACCCCAAATCTAGAATGGTGGTTTGACTCTGACTTACCCCTCTTCAACATCATGGTTTCACCCCAAATCTTTCATGGTGGTTTGACCCCAAATTACATTCTTAAACATGGTGGTCTGACCCCAAATTACATTCTTAAACATGGTGGTCTGACCCCAAACCCGTGATCACGACTCCACATGAAACTGCCACTGGAAACATTTCCAAAAAAATTGGAAACAAATGAAAGATGGAAGTAAGTTGTTTCAAACATATTTATATATTTTGCATGTAATGCGATTTGCACATTTTTTGCAAAGCACAGACTGCGGAACGCTTGCATTTTTGTCACCTCTCTGGGATCTTGCACTTTCGGTTCGGCCAGCAAAACTTGTCCAAATGACACGCGGCTCTGAGATTGATGCGTGGGTCTTTAAACCTTACCAATTAGCATCTTCGTCTTCAGAGTCATCGGAATCATCTGATTTCTTCTTTTTGTTCTTCTTTTTGGTCTGTTTTTTCCTCTTCTTTTTCTTGTCATCTGATTCTTCTTCTTCTGATTCTTCTTCCTCAGACTCTTCATCTTTGTTCTTTTTTCTCTTTTTGGACTTTGGTTTTGCTTTCGGATCAGGATTGTGCCCAGAGGTCAGACCATCGGAGCTTCCAGCAGCCACCGAGGTCAAACCATCAGCGCCGACCATCAGATTTTTTGCATCCTCGCGATGCAAAGTGTGCCCCTTTTCCGTAAATTTGGTCAGCACATACTTGGTCAATCTCTCTTCCAGCGCCTCCGCGTGCGCTTCGGTGCAGCAAAATGCCACAATGGGGGTGCGTGTGTCCAAGCACGCCTGGGCCATCTCTCCTTGCCCTGCGAACAAGTCAATGACAGCATTGCAGCACAAGCTGTGCAGCAAGTCCGTGTGGAACTTGGTTGGGAGGCGCCCGGCGCTGAAGACGGACTCCACCCGAGCATCATTGGCCACAACCACTTGCTGCTCCTTGTTCAGGCCTTGGCTTCAATAATTTAGAGGATTTGTGTTTGAGGAGCAAATAAATAAAAAAATAAAAACTGACGAATCCAACAAGCAACTGATCTGCTCAGCGGTCGTGAGCTTCAACGCCTTGGGGCCCAGAATCTTCTCCTTGTCTTTCCGGGTAGCTTCCCACAAGGAATTCGGCTGGAGACATGTCACCCACCCCATGACATTCCCTGTGTTGAATCCGTCATAGTGCAGCCTTCTTTTCTCTGGGACTAAGCGGAATCAGGGTCAAACCGCTGAACAAGTGCAAGTAGCTGTCGCATCTGTAGGCCTCTGATCCTTTGATGCGTTTCTTTCGGCTGCGCACAGATTCCTCCTGGAAGACAACCATGATGTCTTTCTGTTCACAGTCGATGGTGTCACCTCTTGTCGCTGCAGCAAGACGAAAGATCTTGCGCAACTCTGAGATTGCTCCTGGTCTGTCTGAGGCTGCGTGGAAGCACACAATCTCTCCGGGAGCAGGGACCGTTATCTCCCCTTGGTCGCTTTTCACTTGGGCCCCACGGGCCAGCATCGTGGCTTGGATGAGGCTCTTGATTTCACCGTTCCCGTCCAAGGGCTGCAGCCTCCGAAGGCCAATCTGCGAATTGACGCCCATATTCTCACCCATATAATCCAGGTCACACCAAGTCAAGCACGACCTGACAAGAGGCATCCCTACATTTCGATTGCACGTCCATGGCTAGGGTTCCCAATGTTGTTGCAAAACAATACGTTAAAATAAACCAAAAAAAAAGAGTCCATTCAACAAGCCTCTGGCCCTCCGGCACAATGACATCTTTGAGGCAAGAGTTGGTCAGCTCTCTCTGCATTTGCCCTTGTGTGGCTGGCAGCACCATACATGAAACATACCGCCTCACAGTTGTGTTCGCCAAACTGTTCCAATACTCCTGGCTGTTCTCCACAAACTCATTGGCTGCCCGACGCATTTGATGGAGAGCGGTCTCTGCCGGGGCGTCTCCGTCCTCCTGGTCTTCCATCTTGTCCCGCACCTTCTGCTCTGCCACTTCATTTTCTCGGATGGAAATGACCTTGGACCATTCCTCCTTGATGATCTCATTTTCGGCCACTTCTTCGACGTTCTTGTGCCCGCGGGCATGCTGCTTTAGCTGATTGTCGAATTGTTTGTTGAACACCAGCTTCTGACAGGGCAGTTGCAAACAACATGGTGAAAAAACATTGGTACTATGGCTTGCTGAAATCTTCAAACATCTAAATGTGCATTGAAATGAAAGGCACATGTTGTGTTTGGAAACCTGCAGATCCATCAGGCCTCAAGAAACTGCAATGCCTCCAAAGAGCTGCGGGCGAGATTGCCTTGCCATGAGACGTCTGAGCCCAGCATCTCCTGCCGATACGAAGCATGGTCCTGCAAGACTCGGCGGATCACTGCCCGGTCCTTCTCCAGGATGTTGGCGCGGGCCATCATGGATGAGAGCCAATGTTCCAGGCAAAGCATCTTCAACTCCAGGAGCGGAATCAAACCGCAGGTGTTGCGATCACCAGTGAGAGTGTTCTTGGTCACCTCATCGTTCGTCAGCAAACTGCGGACGAGCCAGTCATAGATTCCCTGCATCACCCAAACCCGCCGATTGGCTTCAGGTTTGGTTGCCAAGAGATGCAGTTTGCTGAGGGAGTTGAAGCAAGACTTTGTTCCAAATTTTTCTTCCATGGCTAGAATGGGACCTAGCATCTCGGGGCCTTTCATCTTCTCATACACCTGGGTTGCCAGTTGCACTAGATTTGTGGTGAGATCATCCTGTGAAGAAGCTTTCTTGAGGCCAAATTGCTTCAACTGATTGACGAGCTCCGCTGGTTGAAGAGTTCGTCCTACATCGGACTCCATGCGCTTCTTCAGCATGCTGATCTCGGTGGCCTGCTGCAAAGCTGATCGGCTCAGAGATTCATACTCCTGTGTGAGCTGGTTGCGGCAATTCCATGAATGAATCCAAGTGTTTTTTGCGCCAGCCACAAAGCAGAATGGGACTGACCTCAGCACAATTTGCCATTCCTCTTTGTGCTCTGGGAGGTCTCTGGCAGCCGCATACAGAGCAGCATGCGCATAGCCTTCCGGAGAAAGCATACCCAGAGCTGATGGTCTCTCTGGCACATCTGTTGGGGCTTCCACCTCCAACAACTTGAGGAGGAACATCGGTTTGGACTGGTTCTTGGGCCACAAGAAGTCACCTAGCTGGCATACACCATGCCTTTGTAGTGGTACTCCTGGGCTTGGGGATCTCAGAAAATTCAACCAGAACAAGTTCCCAGCGCAAATGTACAAATTCTGGTTCCCAAGAGCCCTCGTGGCGCTTTCCTTGTTGAAAGGTTCTTGGATGCCGCCATCTCCTTGTTGATTTCCTTGTGCGATTTGCAGCGCATCTTTGTTGGCAAAATCCGGTCCCAAACACTTCAAAATTTTCCTCATGTCTTCTTGGACTGATTGGTAATAGCTTAGATTGACTTCAGACACGTTGCTGGTGGACAACGGTGCCATTGGGGTCAGACCACCGGCACCTCCAGCAGGGGTCTGACCACCGGCACCTCCAGCAGGGGGCAGACCAATGGCACCTCCAGCAGGGGCTTGGCCGGCATTGTTGCCGGTTGGCGAGGACGGGGCCTGGGCGTCATCTCTCGGTTGGGCGCCATCTTTCGCCTTTTTTTTGGCTTCTGCTGATGCCTTCGCTTTGCCTTGTTTCATGATTCGGGTTTGTTCAGCCCTGTACTCATTGATCTTCGCCTGCACATTGTCAGATCAAACATCGCCATGTTTATACAAACACACAATGTTCAGCAACATACTCTTTGCCATATCCCGTGCCTGCCGATCGACCTCGTTCTCTGATCCATCCGGCGCCAGCTGCTCTTCGAAAGTCTTCACAGCCTCATCGATTTTAGCCTGAAATTTGCTGGATGGGACATTATTGCGTTTGATATTTTGAAAACAAAAAATTTTAAAACATGATTTCAGACTATCGGTCCTGTTCAAACTAAAAAATTAATAACATGATCTCAGACTATCGGTCCTGTTCGGCTCCAGAAAGCCGCCACGCCGACCAATTGGAAGGCACGCCATCAGGCAATGGAGCTTTATTCGCTGCTTTTGGTGGCATGATGGACCTGCAAAAACCATCACGTGCCACTGGCTGCAAGACAGCTGTGGGCCAAAACAGATAACCATGCACAAGGTCATAAATCTGTGCACAGAAATGTCCTTCACACTAGCAAGGTGCTGAATTAGCTGCAACAAAAACCCATCCAAGATACTTACGTCAGCAACTAAATTTCCACAGCATTCAATTTTTTTCTTCGCAATGTATCTACTTGGTCTTTGTACAGAGCGATTTCGAATGCAGGAGTCGGGTCAGACCACAACCCTGGCCAGCTCAATGAGGATCCGATTTATTTCCTTGGCCGAAACAGTTGCCATGCTCGATTTGCTGCGCTGCGGGTAGTGGCTGAGTTTACCCAATGATCTCGGGCTGCGGCTTCCTCCCGGGACACGTGGCCCAAAGAAACCATGCACTCCAGCAAAATTTTTCCCAAAACATTGATGGACATGGCGTCCCCCAGCGATGCGCCAACAGTGGATTCGTCAAAGGACTTGAGCAAAGAATTCAGCATTTGCTCAGGCCATCCTTGCAATCGCCCTGCCTCTCGTACAGTCAAACGTCTGTCCAACTTGGGCACAAAGAAACCAGTCTGTTTGCCTTTGAGGCGGCTTCTAGTCAAACAAGGCACAACATATTTTTTGGCCGACTGAAACGCCTCGCTGCTGCCAACATCCAATACATATGGTCCTTGGCGAACCCTGTCTCCATACTTTCGCACATAGTTTTCTATGTTGCACCGCTGGCCAGGCTCACCACGGAGATGCGTGTCCAGAAACTCCTTCAACCATTTTTTTTTGAACTCCACTTTCTTCGGCCAGTGAAATCTCGTCACAATGGCATCCTTCAGCAAGGCCACAATGTAGACACGTTGGCGGCCCTGAGGAATTCCATAATCCAATGTTGAATGAAGTTTTAAGCGAAGTGTGTACTCCAATTTTTCCAAGACATCCTTGATCAGCTGTCGGAATTGCTGATGTTTTTTTTGAAGGAGTCCTTTGACGTTCTCCAAGACCACACAACTGGGTTTGTGATGGCAAATATATTCAAGGCCATACAGACCGATTTGTCCTCGTGGATCCTGCACGCCCTTCTTTTTCCCAAGAACACTGTAACTTGGACAGGGGTAGCCAGCCACATAGACATCACATGATGGGGCTGTTGCGGCATTCCTCTTTGACATATCTTTGCACACGGGAGAAACGTCGAGATCTAACAGGGAGCAAACATGGCGATATAGTTTCCTCTTGTCGGGATCACTATCGGACCACATTGAAGTTTCGATTTGCTCGCGAAAACCAAACAGAGTAAGAGCCGCTAAATCGGATCCCATTCCTGCACAGTCGCTCCCCACACGAAGTTTACCTCTTCCAGGTCGACTTGCGCTGGGCTCACCAGCCTTTTCTTCGGCCAAATTGAGAATGCGATCGAAATGTTTTTTCATTTCTGCTGATTTTTTTGGTTTGCTGCCCAAGGTCAGGCCATCAGACTTTCTGCCCGAGGTCAGACCATCAGACTGCTTGCTGCCCGAGGTCAGACCATCAGACATGTTTTTTTTTCTAGTTGCCAACTTGGACAACATGGTCTAAGGCGGCGAGTCTGAGTTCATCTCCGAAAATGAATTGCTAATGATACTTATGCTGACTTGCTTATGTCTTTTCTATCAGTGAGATTGGCTGCTGTTACGGTAGTAACTGACACTGACTATCAGTGAGATTGGCTGCTGTTAAGGTAACTGACACTGACTAATCCAATCAACGTATGTGCCTGTGAGCCAGACTCCGGAAGCAAGAGCGTTGGATTGTATTCTCTGACTACTCCAAGGTCTAGTGTCTCTGGAAAGTAGCGTTTGTACCAGCGTAAATGCGTAAGGGGAGTACGAACTTCATACTCCCCTTACACGGAGCCGGCCCGGGCTGGCAATGTGTAAGGGGAGTATGTAAATGCGTAAGGGGAGTATGTACGCTAGCGGCGCTAGCGTTCATACTGTCCTTACGCGAAAACCTACTCCTCTTACGCGGCCCCGGCCCGGGCTGGCAATGTGTAAGGGGAGTACGAACTTCATACTGTCCTTACACGGATGCGTTCACGTTAACGCTGCTTACGCGGCCCCGGCCCGGGCTGGCAATGTGTAAGGGGAGTATGTAAGGGCCAAAATTGGTCTACACTTAACGTCGCCCAAAATGGAACATGTAAAATGTTAAGTTTGCATGTTCGCGGGAACTCCACTGAACTTTTTGGTGTTCCAATTTCCAATGCTCAATGCTGTATTTTGCACTACTTGGTCTAACACAGCAGAACAAAAACAGCAATGCAGTCATAACTGAACATGACCCTCGGTCAGTCACACAATTGAATTGGTGCAAGAAGACTGGCTAACGCACTTTTTCAACAGACTTGCTGTCATCATCCCCGGCAGCAGCATCACCCTAAGCGCCCAGACTTGTCAGTCAAGAGCGTCATTGTAGCCAAACGCTCAAAAAAACTTTCAGCTGTGTGCACACGCACCCCTGGTTTGCGGAACGAGCGTTTTTCATTTTCTAAACACAAAACCACTTTGGCCTGATTCTGGCCAATTTCCTCCCATTTGGAAGTGGGTTCTGCATGGATGTGGTGTTGCAGGCACGCAGTGATCTGGACGTGCTTGGCTTTAAAATTATCACTCATGAACAACTTCAGATGAATTTCGATTCCTGACCTGTACTGCAAAACAAAGACATGTCGTTTCACTGTCAAGAAGTCGCGGGCGACTACAGCCCCTCCTCGCAGCATCATGTGCCAAAATGCACGTTTTTCTGGAGAGCTATTGGTTACAAAGGCCACGTTGGCCTCATCCAAAGAAGAAGTCAAGGCGGTCAGACCAGCCTGCACAGCCGCTTGACGTTCTTCAGGCGAAGCTTCGTCGTCGATCCAAGCAGTGCGTCCTTGCAGCAAAACATAGAAGAAGTGCATCGGTTTCTTCTCCTGTGCCAACTTGCACATGTTGTCCACATAGGCCTGCTTCTTGATTCGCTCTCTGTCGTTCTTGGCCTCTTCTGCCTTCTGTTTCTGGATGTCCTTGCGGCTAGGCTTCTCGGAATCCAGAAGAAAATTGTCTTCAAAGGCTTCCACACGCCTTTTTTTCACTTCCTGGAGGCACTTTTTTTCCTCCTTTTTCATTGCAGCATCGAACTTGTAGCCTCTGACTGGGTCTCTGCCTTCTTCACCTTGGCCCCCTCTGGTCAGACCAAGAGAGGACGCTTGGCCCCCTCCGGTCAGACCACGAGAGGACGCTTGGCCCCCTCTGGTCAGACCCTTCAGATCGGCTTTTCGTTTTCGAAGGAAGGCTGCCTCTGTGTTTTCGGGCAGTGCAGAAATTGGCTTCTTGCTTCCTGCATCAAAACGCGTCTTGCGACCTGATGTTTTGTTTTTGGCCACATAGCATCTGTTTTGCGAATGCAAAACTCGGGCAGCCTCAACTAAAACTTCGTCGGTCTTGAAGGAAGCCCCTTCCTGAGAAGTCAAACCCAGCACGGACCTGCGAAACGTGTCTGCAGAACCGCTGTGTCGATGCAAATGGTTCCTCTCAATTTTGGAAAAAGTTTGCTCCATGCCCGATGTGGAAGCTGTCCATGACAAGAACGCTGAAAGAACCTCACATTCAACTCATACTTTACCGGGTTTATGTGAACATTATTATACTTCTTTTGGATTTTGTTGGGCATTGTTGGGCATGCACGAAATCAAGTTCAAAACTGATGTGATCTTGTTGACAAGGAACAACCTCCAAGTTGTCCAAGTCCCAGGCTTGCGATGTTTTGGAGACGGCTCGCCTAAAGGCAAACTGCCAGGCTTGTCGATTGTTGCATCCGGCATTCTTATGCTGGGCAAAAGCAATGGGCCAAAGACGATCAAACTCAGCCTTCAGTTTTCCTGGGTTCAAGGCGAACACTTTGGCCAGGCGCGCGATACTGTCGGCCTTCCCTTCTGCGGTGCTGCTGCCCGAGTCTGGGCTCAAGTCAAACACTCGGAAAGCCATGACTGCATCAAAATCTGGAAATTCAGCCGCGATGGCCGCCCTGATCAAGTCTATGGAACGCCGCATCGTTCGCAAAGCCTTGCGCTTGGCCACATCTGCCCTAAGGGCACTGAGTGATCTTGCACCCCCCTTCACATAGAAGGTCAAGTTGCCGCGCTTCAAGAGCTCAAAGCAATGTTTGGTGAAGCCTTCAATCTCAAACACTTTGCCTTGGACAAACATGGCCTCATCAGGGAAATTTGAAAACCATGTTTGACATAAAAACAAGTTTCACACGCTGCGACCCATGATTGGCAACAC